TTTCTTTATATTTACTCATTTCCTCTTTAAAAGCCTTTATTTGAGTGTATTTTCCTGTATTTCTTTATATTTATTAATTTCCTCTTTAAAAGCCTTTATTTACTTCATTGTATTTTCCTGTATTTCTTTATGGGATTTATTAATTTCCTCTTTAAAGGTCTCTTTCACTCTCATAGATTGGATTTATAGTCATTTTCTTGTGCATTGGATATATTAGGTCATACAAAGCTTGGTGTAGTAGGATAGCTGGGTTCTAGTGGTGCCGTATTACCCTGGCTTTTGTTAATTGTGTTTTGATGTTGGCCTTTAGCCATCTGATTGTTCTTGGTGTTGACTGGCTTGGTAGTCCCTGATAACAATAGGCCTCTGAGAACCAGGTGGTAACAAGCCTCCAGGGATGTAGGTGGTCCCTGATGGCTGAAGGCCTCTGAGAGTGCAGCTAGCGGTGTCGATCAGAAGTTTGAGTGCAGAAGCGACAGGGCAGATCTCATAGCTACTGTGCTTGCCAGGCAGGAGATTGGAACATGGGGATTTCACCTGATTGTCCTGGGTAGCAGCAGACCTCCAGAGATGCAGGCAGAAATGTGGTGTAGGAAATGGAGTACATATCTGGGATTACAGGTAGGAGTATGGATTGGAATGTGGGTAGGATGACTAGAAATGCAGAAAGTTCCTCCAGGTGGTAAGTTATGCTCAGTGGTTGCAGCTACAGTGGCTCATTAAAGGCCTTCCACACGATTCCTCACTGTGTGGCCCCAGTGACACAAGAAAGCCCTTGGTTCAAAAAGGGTTTATTTTCATGGGAGATGGTAGATGGATCTGGATGTAGCCCCCTGAAACTCAGGGCAGAACTGAGTTAAATAGGGAGGGAGAAAGTGAAGAGGGTCTGGGGAAGAATGTTTAATTGGCTTTTCCCTCTGGCCTTCATTAGTATGTAAATCTAGGGCCTGGGGCTGGTAGTTACACCCTCTACCTGTGCACTTTGGAAGCTCCCCCCCCCCCATGGCCTACGTGACTGAACAATGTTGGTCCATGGAGACGACTGCTTTCAGGACCCTGGGTTCTGGGAACGTGGCCGAACACCTGCCATTTCTCCCTTGGAGTCTCTGGGTTCCAGGCCCATGCCCAGCCAAGAACCAAGATACTCTTACACAGTCCAACATTGGAAGATGAACTGTAGAGGGAACAAGAAATGTGTATTTCTTAGTTTAATCAAAAACTCTAGTGAAGAGTAAAAATGGTCCATGAAAAAGGTGACATATAATATAAATTTATTGAATACATTTTCCTGCTATCAAATATAATTTGAAATTTGATGAGAGAACTCATAAATATTTTAGGTAATAAAGCGGTCACTCTATGTTAACCACAGATCTGGATTGGTTGCCTGTTAGTGGGACTGAAGTGCAGGAAAACAGACCACTGAAGACATCAATCCTTTATATTATTTTGTACTTTAGGCATTCCCTCCTGCCCTGTAATTTCCAATTCAGACCTTTTTTAGTCTCTATCAAGTCTTGACAGGTTACAATACTTACGGTTAACCAAACATCAAAGCCTTTGCTTTGGGACATTAACAATAACATGATTTGTCAGACTTCTGTGACAATTGTCTTGCTTTCACTTCATTTGGAAGAGTTAGTAACGTGAAAATAACCAAAACCTTTATCCTTGAGCCACTTCTTGACAAGAGACTTGACTCTGTTCTTGACAAGACTTACTTGTTTTAGAGAATGGGTATGTAGCAGAAGGAGGTTGGTATAATAAAAATGTTGTATTGGTTTATAAGTTGCTGTCCAGTGGATTTATGTTTTGATGCAGTCTGAATGTGTGTTCTCAAGTTACAAAGAACTTTAGCTATGTATGCACAGCCTATGTTACAGAAAATGAAAATTTCTTGAGCTTTAGCTTACTGCAAGTAGAAGTTACATCGTCGACTCTATAATACCTATTCCTGGTAACATGCTACTTACTGTCTACCATACCTGAGAATAGAGAGGAGTCATATTCCAAGTTATTTCTGAACTTCATGTCGTGACACACACCTGAAATCCCAAAATGGAGAAAACAGAAATAAGTAAATCATGAATTTGGGGCCATTCTAAGGTAAATAGTAAGATGCTGTCATAAAAATTAAAAATATAGAGTAATAGCAAGAAAAAGTTCTTTATTCACTAAAAGTTTACTTCCTCCTGTAGTAAATGGGAACAAATACAGAGCCCCCTCAGCTGGACAATCTGCAAAGAGTGCTAGACCTTGGAACACTCCTTCCAAAATGGGACATCTTTATCAAGTCCCTCCCACCAGAGCTTAGTGAACTCTGCAGAAGAGGAGACGGAAAGAGTATAAAAACCAGAGAGAATGGAGGACACCGAGGAAATAAGACCCAGATGCAGCAGAGATTATGCACCTATGAACTCATAGGGACTGTCCAGCACTCACATAGCTTGCATGGTTCTGAGTCCAATTGGGGTTGTAGTGATGGAAGGAGATGTGGAGACATACTAACCCATCCCTAACTTAGAAACTATCTCCAAATGATAACCATACACAAAGGAAAACATAGTCTTCTTCAATGGGGTCTCACTGGGTATACAAAACACTCTTAAAAGCAGGACCCAGGACGAGCAGTAGATGGCCAACACAATGAACTCAATGACATTTTTGAAGTTCCTTTGTATCATAGTGCTTTGAAAGAACATTAACATCATCATCATTTGCCTTACAGGTCATTGGAGTATATATTATGGTTTCCAATTTGTGTTTTCATGAGGTTCTTGTGTGTGTGAACATGTGTATCTCTTTGTTTGTATGTGGGTTTGTTTGAGGTTTTTTATTAGTGCTTTCTGTTTGTTTCTTTTCTTTTCATTGTATTATTCTGTTAAAGTTTGTTTTTATTTTATTTAATTTCATTTTTGTTTTCAGATGCCTGCTTGTACTCTAAAGAAAGAGAATGAAGTGTTCTGAGTTTGAATGAGAAGAGAAGTGGAGAGGGTCTAGCAGTTGGGGAGTGGAGAAATCATATTCACAATATATTGTATGAAAAAAAATCTATTTTCAATAAAAGAAAAATATCACTATGTATAAAAAAGAAGTTAACAACAACAACAACAACAATAGAATCCTTGCTCAGCCCTGATACCAACAGAATAAGAACAAAAAGAAAATGTAATTATGTCCTCAAGATTTTGTCTCATAAATTTATTGTCTGTTAGCAAACTTCCTGTCCTTTTAAGCATAGTTGAAAACATTTAACTTCTGAGAAAAAAATGGATTTAAAAAAAAACAATTAAATATATCTGTTTAAAGACAAAAGATCCTCAGCACATACTTTTCTGGAGCACACACTACAGTACTCAAGGCTGAAAGACACGGCTGACTGTCATTCTCTGCTGACATCACTACAACCTTAACTCAGGGGAGAGCTTCTACTGGGGTTATTTCCATTCTTGCCAGTGTGCTGATACAAAAATACAATTGTGCTTCAAAGATAAACATATGGTTTAGGGGTAGAAATTCCTGTCCGGTGATTTTCATTATTCTACAGAAGACAGAAAAAGAAGATATTATCTAAAATTCAGGAACAAGTGAAAAATAGGAACATCAACATAACAGGTTTGCTTACAAAGAAAAATAGATCCTTTCAGAATGTCCTAGGCAGTTAGAACATATCAATAGGGTATTGTTAGGAAAATATTGTAAATCTTACCTTAACATTATTAAGGTACAGGGGGAAATCAAATAATGATGCAATCTTTTTTTTTTGTAACAATGTAATGGTATAAAATTTAGGCCAATTTCCTGCTTTACCAAAATATGATAGCTAAATTTGACATTTTGCCTTTTTAAGCCAGTTTCATATTTGTGGATTTTCTATGATCTGCTTCCCGTCTTAAGGCAAGAAGCTATCTAAATATTTCCATTTTCTTCTAGGGTTTAGAAGAGCTCATCTTTCTTTCCATAGCCGTGTTTCTTCTATACACTGTTCATACAGTGTGATGTATCAGAAAGTGACTACTCTAAGCCACTATCCACCCTTGATTGGCAGGAAGAGAGTTACTATGTGGCAGAAAATACGTTTGAGCTGAATCACTGCTGTTCACTTACAACTTGCAAAATATTTGGAATCTTTAGAGAAGAAATTTAGAGACATGCTCTCCTTTCCATATTTGCTTAAGAACTACTAGAACGAAGAGAAGGAGGAGGAGGAGGAGGGGGAGAAAGAGGAGGAAGAGGAGAGTGGGGAGAAAGGGAGGAAGGGAGGAAGGAAGGGAGGGAGAAAAGAGGAAGAAGGAGAGGGAGGAAGGGAGGGAGAGAGGGAGGGAGGGAGGGAGGGAGGGAGGGAGGGAGGGAGGGAGGAAGGGAGGGAGGGAAAGGAGGGGAGAGAAATAAGCATGCATTGAAATGTAAAATCAGAATAGTCTGTCAGTCCAGTTGAGTGGTCATGTCTTAGAGATCAGCAGCTACTGCTGTGTGTCTCCGTGGAAGTACTAAGATTCGTCTTTTATGAATTTCTGACGTGTGAGAACAGGATGCATTTCTCGATGAGGGGAATCTAACCCTTTACTTCACCCCCCTCCCTCCTCGCTTACATCTTCAAGGTCTCTCTTTTCATGTCAGAAGTCTCACTGAGTAGATTTGGTCTCCTTCTCTGCTGTTACAGTTGTTTCCTTTGTTCAAGATAAAAAAAAGAAATTCAATGATAAACCCTGAGAGAAGTGATGGACAGAGGGTGGGGGAGATTCTGTGCTGCTAAAGAGAAACAGGGTGGTGGTTTTACAGTGTCCAAATCTCTGCTCTCCAGCCTGCATCTTCCCAAAATACTACTGACAAATAGCACAACGAAGATAGATATTTGTGGCTTTGTGATGCTCAGGACGGTATTGAATGTGATCTGACTTGGCAGATGTTTGATCTGTCTGGGTTTAAGAGAATAATCCTTGCTAAAGAATGCATTTGATTTAGTGCATTGGTTACAAATAGTTGTGTTTGGTTTGCAGGGACAATTCTGGTGGACAACATGCTGATTAAGGGAACTGCCGGAGGACCAGACCCCACCATAGAGCTCTCTTTAAAGGACAACGTGGATTACTGGGTGTTGCTGGACCCTGTCAAACAGATGCTTTTCCTGAACAGTACCGGAAGAGTTCTGGATAGAGACGTCAGTAGCTTTTTTTTTTCTCTGACCCTGTGCTGTAGCTGTAGTATAATTTAAATGTCTATATGCATTATCTATATGATATTAAAATTTACCCATATAATTAGATTTTATTTACTTGACATAGCAGCGAAAGAAAATATAACTCTTGGAATCAGTCTGCAAAAGGAAGGAGGCGTCTGTGTCTGAGGTGATCAGTTTGATACTCTCGAATTTTGTCCCAGTGTTGAGCAAATAAATAGACTACAGAGAATAAAGAGGTGGTGTCTTTGGGCAAGTAGGAGCATCACACAGAACCCTATTATTTTCCCACAATGTGAAATTGAAGGTGCTATTTGATGTTTGGCTGTGGGGTCAATAGAAGTGGGTGTGTAGCCTCTCATTTAGCTGCTAGCACAGTTAGAATTGGTAGGAGGGAGGCTGAGCATCATGCTTATGAGGCTGATAAAATGCAAAGGTGAGCCAGATTCCTGTCACCATCCTTGTCCAGTCATCGTATGGCAGATCTGTTTCCTACAGAACAGCTAAGTTGCCAAAGTCGTCCAGTATATCGCTTCTGAAAAGGGTGACAAAGTATTGAAAAGACCTGAGTCCAACCTCAACCACATGTATCCCCATCTTTCTTGGGGACTAAGAAGGGAGGGGCATGCAAAGAAGTGTTCCCACCTCAGAGTATACCTTGCAGGCTGCAAAACTAAAGCAGAGTTACTGGGCATTGCTGTGTAGATTCATGACCCACCTCCTATTAGGATACTGAGTGTATGACCCCTTCATCCTGCAAGGATCCCACAGGCCGTCTGTAATAGCTCTGCCTGTCTTTCATTCAGTTTACTATTTGCTTTATGATATTTGACTCTTAGGTTCTTGGGAATTACCCCTTCACCTACAGCACTGCTTTTAGGGCTGTGTATATCACAGTGGAAATCGGTCTCTCTCTCTCTCTCTCTCTCTCTCTCTCTCTCTCTCTCTCTCTCTCTCTCTCTCTCATTTACATTGTGATCGCTGGTCCCACAGTTCCTCCCCCCACCCCTCCCTTCTCCTCTGATAGAGTGAGGCCCCCACCCCCAGTATCTGCCCACCCTGGCACATCAAGTATCTGCAAGGCTAGGCACTTCTTCTCCCACTGAGGCCACATCAGCTACATATGTGTGGGAAGGGGATGTTAGGTCCAGCCCATGTATGCTCTTTGGTTGGTAGTTCAGTCTCTGAGAGCTCCCAAGTGTTCAGGTTGGTTGACTCCGTTGGTCAGTTTTTAAAAAGAGCTAAACAGAATTCTCAATGGAGGAATCTCGAATGGTGGAGAAACACTTAAAGAAATGTTTCTAAAGTCATTAGTTATCAAGGAAGTACAAATCAAAATGACTCTGAGATTCCATCTTACGCCTATCAGAATGGCTAAGATCAAAAATTCAAGTGATAGTATGCAGATGAGGATGTAGAATAAGGGGAACACTCCTTCATTGCTCCCCTTCATGGTGAGAGTGAAAGCTTGTACAACCACTTTGGAAATCAATTGGGAGTTTTCTCAGAAAACTCGGAATAGCTCTACCTCAAGATCCAGCTATACCACTCCTGGGCATATACTCCAAAAAGATGTCCCACTATACCAGAGGGAAACTTGCTCAGCTATGTTCATAGCAGAATTATTTGTAATAGCCAGAAACTAGAAACAACCTAGATGTCCCCCAGCTGAAGAATGGATAAAGAAAATGTGGTGCATCTACACAATGGAAACTTTTTAAGCTCTTGAAAACAAAGATATTATGAATTTTACAGTGGATGTCTTTGTATCTACAGTTTTACCACATATTCACCATCTGCAATCATCCACAAAGTTCTACTTCTAGGCACTTAGTGAACTAAATCAGGGCTTCTGTTCTACACCTAGGAATATACTGATATGCATCCCCCATGAAAATTTCAAACACATTTAGTGTAATTTATCGATATCTCTCTCCTTCCTCATCCCTAGTTAGATTCCTTCCCCATTGTCTTCCTTTCTTCCTTCATAGCCCCTGCTTCCTACTATGTGCCTGCTCCCAGAGCATCTTCTCTCTCCCTAAAGTTCCCTTTCTACTTTCCTGGCTTCTGAGATAACTTCACTCCATGGATGTACATCTAAGGATTCAGAGCTACAATCCACATGTAAGAAAAGACAGGCAGCCTTTGTCTTTCCTGGTCTAGTTTACACTTTGATGTTTAATATTTTTTCAGCTTCATCCATTTACCTGCAAGTTTCATGTTTCTAAAAAATTTTTTACAGTTTAATAGAATTTGATTGTGTGTATATACCACAATTTCACTATCCATTCATCAGTCAAAGGCATCTGGATTTGTATTTTCTAGTCACTATGAATAGAATAGTTTCTCTGCACTAGGATGTTGAGTCCTTTATAAATATGCTAAGAATGGGACATACCGTATGTCTATCTTTAGGTTATTAAGAATCCACACACTGATTCCTGTATTAGTGGGACCAGTTTGCAATTCCAACTACAGTGAATAAGAGTTCTTCTTTCCCCATACTCTCACCAGCATTTATTATCAGTTCTTTTGTTGATTGGAGGCAGTTTGAGTATTATAACATGAAATATTAATTGTGTATACTTTTCTAATTGCTAAAGATGTCAGCAATATCATTTAAATATTCCTCAATAATTTGTACTTCTTCTTTTTAGAATTGTGTGTTGATTATATCCACAGCACATTTTTTTTAAAATTGGGCAATTTGTTCTCTCTCTCCTCCTCCTCTTCCATCTTCTCTTTTTCTTCTTTTAGTTCCTTATAGATATTAATCCTCTGCCAGATGAATAAGTGAATCCTATGGTCTTCCTCTTCACTTGCTTGATTTTTAGTTTTCTTGTTTGTTAACTTTTGGCCTTATTCCTGAAAACAAAAATGAAGTCCTATTCAGGAAGCCCTTTTATTTCCTGTGCCTTCTTGGGTACTACATACGAAATCGTCTAGAAGTTTTAGCATTTCAAGTTTCACACTGAGGTCTTTGATCACTTTGAAGGGGATTTTTTAATTGGTTATTTTATTTATTTACATTTCAAATGTTATCTCCCTTCCCAGTGTCCCCTTCACAAACTCCCTATCCTATCCCCTTCCCCTCTGCTTCTCTGAGGGTGCTCATCCACCCACCAACTCACGCCCACCTCATTGCCGTAGTATTCCCCTACACTGGGGCATCTTTTGTTTTACTTTGCTGTGTTGTGATAGCATCATGATGTGTTTACTGTTAAGATGTAATATTGCTTGTAATATGGTATGATAGTCTCTCCGGCATCATTCATTTTTTCCAGGTTTGCTTTGGTTCTCCTGGGCCTCTTGTTCTTCCATATGCATTCTAATATTTTTTTTATTTCATTGAAGAACATTGTGTGTATTAATTTGGATTGCACTGAATCTTTACATTGCTCTTGGTAGGAAGATAAGTTTTACAACATTCTATCAATCCTTGAGCATCAGTAGTGTATGTACGTCTTCTTGTATCTTCCTCAATCTCTGGTTTCAAAGACTTAAGCTTTTTATCATGTTGGCATTTCACCGTGCTGGTTAGATCTATCCATAGCTTCTATTTTGAACCCATTGTAAGTGGAGGTGTCACTAGGGTCTCTGTTTCTCAGATTGTTTGCTATTGTTGTATAAAATGGCTACGAATTTCTATAGGTTGCTGTTTGTCTTACCACTTCACTATAATTCTTGATCTTCTGTCCAGATTTGGAGGTAGAGCTTTTGGGGTCTCATGGAAAATATCATATCATCTACAAGTAGGGTGAGATAATTGAAGCTCAGCAAGGACTCACATATTTACAAGTGCGGCTTTGGTCTAGGACAGGAGGGTGGACGGGTGGCAAGGACTGAGGGTCGGTTGCCAGAACAGGCAAGAAAGCAAATGGCTATGGCTCCCACATGGGTTTGAAGTGGCAGTGTGGGGTGAAGGTCAAGGGTCAGACTATCAAGTGACTTTTCTTTCTTTCTTTCTTTCTTTCTTTCTTTCTTTCTTTCTTTCTTTCTTCCTTCCTTCCTTCCTTCCTTCCTTTCTTTCCTTCCCTCTCTCTCTCTTTCTCTCTCTTTCTCTCTCTCTCTCTCTCTCTCTCTCTCTCTCTCTCTCTCTTTCTTTCTTTAAATGTTACTTACTCACATTACATCCTATTCACTGCCCACCTCCAAGTCATCCCCAACCACGATGCTTCCTCCATCCCTTTCCCTTTCTCTTCTGAGTGGGTGGGGGCTCCTGGGTATCCCTCCTACCCTGGCACTTCAAGTCTCTGTGAGGCTAGGTGTTTCTTCTTCCACTGAGACCAGATAAGTCAGCCCTGCTAGAAAAACATATCCCACATAAAGGGAGCAGCTTTTGGAATAGCCCCCATTATTCCAGTTGTTTGGAACCCACATGAAGACCAAGTTGCACATCTGCTACATGTATGCAGGTAGCTCATATATGTTCTTTGGTTGCTGGTTCAGACTCTGAGTATCCCAAGGGTCCAGGTTAGTTGACTCTGTTGGTATTCTTGTGGAATTCCTATCCTCCTTTGGGGATCAAAATCCTTTCTCCTATTCTTCTATAAGAGTTCTCAAGCTCCATACATTGTCTGGCTTTGTGTCTCTATCTGTCTGAGTGAGTTACTGGGTGGAACCTCTCCTGTCTGCAAGCATAACGGAGTATCATTAATACTGTCAGGGATTGGTACTTGTCCATGGGATGGGTCTCAAGTTGGGCCAGTTATCTGTTGGCTATTCCCTCAGTTTCCGCACCATTCCCTGTGCCTGCATTTCTTGTAGACAGAATAAATTTGGGATTAAAAATGTTATGGGTGGCTTGGGGTCTCTCTTGCTCCAAGTGGCTATTCTTAACAGTACTTCTTGTGAACAATTTCTACTAATAAATGTGGGACAAGGTTTGAGATTTTATTTGTTATGATGGTTCCCGGCATATGTATATAAATATGCATATAGATGTACATATTTTATAATATATTCAATTCTACTTAACTTAG